TACTACATCATAGCTAGCACATGTATATGAGTTGTATAGTAGGTGTAATACAAGTTGTGTAGCACATGTATACACATGTACTACATCATAGCTAGCACATGTATATGAGTTGTATAATATGTGTAATTAGGTGTATGACAACTAATAGATTAGGTGAATTAGTATTATAAATAGGCCTTGTAATCTTCTCTTCTAGATATGAAATATAGAACTTCTTTAGTTTCTAACATGTTACTTTAAAGGAGCTCCTGGACTTGGCATATTATATACCAATCACAATCATACTCGTATTAAGTGTTTTGCAGATGCTGACTGGGCTGGATAAAAAATTGATAAAAGATCTACTACAGCTTATTGTGTCTTTGTTGAAGGGAACTTGGTATCATGGAGGAGTACAAAGCAAAGTGTTGTATCTCGATCTAGTGCAGAATCCGAGTATAGAGCTATGTCACAGTCTACATGTGAGATTATGTGGATACATCATTTGTTGACTGAAATTGGGTTAGTGCATCCAATACCAACAAAACTCAAGTGTGACAATCAAGCTGCCCTCCATATTGCGTCAAATCCGGTGTATCATGAAAGAACTAAGCATATTAAGGTTGACTGCCATTTTATTCGTGAGAAGATTCAGGAGAACTTGATCTCCACTAGCTACGTGAAGACAGGAGAGCAACCGGATGTTTTGTTCACAAAGGCGTTAAATGGAATTCAAGTTGATTACCTTTGTAACAAGCGGGGCATATCCTATATATATTGTGGGCACCATATCCTATATATATATATAATAGATAGATCGATTAGATGAACGACTACTTCGATTAATTCTCCAAAATGTAAATTTTGCAAATACCCTAAATCTTTCACTGTTAGATAATGAATGTAGACATAATCTTATGTAATATATGTAGCTAGCATAACTATAGGGATTCACAGCAGATTTATAGGATTTCCTTTTTGATTCTTTCCATAGTTAAGGCTCTATGTACTTGTATATATACTTGTTACTTCTTGAATACAACATAAGAGAGATTTCTATATTGTCTTTGTACTTTACATGGTATCAGAGCAGGTCTACTGCTCGCCGGAGTTGAGTCGAATTTGCTGCCGAAAATTCCTTGGCCGGAAGCTAATCTGAGGTCTTTTTGACATTTCCAGTTGACTTGTGGTGGTTCTCTGATCATAGAACCACATTTTGGCAAAGAACAACCTCAGACCAAATCTTATTCTCACTTTGTTTAGTCATGTTTGAGCTTGGTTTATTGGTTATTCGATTTCTTTAATTTTGTGGTATTTTTCTCGGAGGCTACCTCTGTGAGAAGCTTGCATCTTTATTTTTGACTTACTGTGGTGATCAATTAGTGACTTGATATTGTCTGTTGGGTCTTTCCTTATCAAAACTTTATTGGTCTCTGATTTTGTTTGAGTTGGGAACAAATTCGTTTGGTTCTCTGATTTGGTTGAGTGGATTATTAAAGTTGAATCCTATTTAATAGATTGTTGATTTCATATCTATCTGGATCTGTTTGAGTATCTTTTAGCTTCGGGGACCTCTGTTAGTTTAATTATTTTATTATTGAAAGGAAAAAAATGTTGGTAAAGAATAATATTGCAACAACTCCTAGTCCAACAATCTTGGTTTCTGGTGAGTTTCTAAAATTCCTTCAATATCATAAATCAGTTAAGGAATCTTCTTCAGTATTGCCTTTGCTGGGTCAGATAAAACATATCTTATTACCTCTTCCAATAAATAGGTGATGGATTCCGGTGCTACAAATCACATGACAGGTAATCCAAATATTTTTTCTAGCTTTCGCTCACATAAAGCACCCTCTCCGATTACTGTAGCTGATGGATCAACTTGTAGTAGTATTGGATCTGAGATTGTTAAACCAACTTCCTCTATTACCCTATCATCTATATTATGTCTACCAAACTTGGCTTTCAACTTGATTTCTGTTAGTAAAATTATCAAAGACCTTAATTGTTGTGTTGCATTCTTTTCCGATCATTGTTTGTTTTTAGATCTTAAGACGATGCAGGTTATTGGTAAAGGATANTCAAAGACCTTAATTGTTGTGTTGTATTCTTTTCCGATCATTGTTTGTTTTTAGACTTTAAGACGATGGAGGTTATTGGTAAAGGATATATATCTGGTGATCTCTACATTCTTTATGAATGGGAGCCATGTTCTATTGCATGCTCTAGTATCGTGTCTCCTTTTGAAACACATTGTCGACTTGGACATCCCTCTTTGCCTTTGTTAAACAAGCTCTGTCCTCAGTTTCAGAATATTTTATCATTGGATTGTGAGTCATGTCATTTTGCAAAACACCATCACATCTCGTTAAGTCCAAGGGTTAATAAGTGAGTTGAGTCAGCTTTTGAGTTAGTCCATTCTGATGTTTAGGGACCATGTCCGGTTGTTTCTAAAACTGGGCATAAGTATTTTGTCACTTTTATAGATGGTTTTTCTCGAATGACTTGGATTTACTTTATGAGGAGCCGCTCTGAAGTGTTTACTCATTTTTTTGCCTTCTATGCTGAAGTCAAAACTCAATTAAATGCTTCAGTACGTACTCTAAGGAGTGATAACGCTAAAAAATACATGTCAGAGTTATTTCAGTCCTACATGAGACAACATGGTATATTATATCAGTCTTCATGTGTTGATGCACCCTCTCAAAATAGAGTTGCTGAGAGGAAGAATAGGCATCTACTTGAGACAGCTCGAGCACTTTTGTTCCAAATGAAGGTTCCTAAACAGTTCTGGGCTGATACGGTTTCTATGTCTTATTTTCTGACTAATCGCATGCCATCTAGTGTACACGATGATAATGTGCTTTATAGTGTTCTTTTTTCAAACAACTCATTATTTCCGATGGAACCTAATGTGTTTGGAAGCACATGTTATGTTCGAGATGTTCGACCATCTCTTACCAAGTTGGCTCCCAAGGCTGTGAAGTGTGTTTTCTTAAGCTATTCTCACCTTCAGAAGGGGTATCGATGTTATTCTACTGAGATTGGCAAATATTTAGTATCAATTGATGTGGTATTTTCAGAGACTACACCATTCTTCTATGCACCTCCCATTTCTACAAGCCAGGGGGAGGAAGATGAGTGGCTAGTATATCAGGTTAACCGTACTTTGACAGAACAATCAGATGATACTCTTCGATCTCCCAATTCTTCTATTTAGCACCAATCGACTATTATGCCTTCAATACCTGCTCCAGCAAGACCTCCAGTTGTTCAAGTTTATTCGCGGAGGCGAGAGACAAATGAAACATGTCCCGTACCAGTTCCTGCATCATCTGATTCTCCTTTGCCTGATCCTCCAGATAACCTTGATCTTCCTATTGCTCTTCGCAAAGGCACACATACATGCAAATCGACATATTCTGTTGCTAACTTTGTTTCCTATGACCACTTATCCTCTACGTCTAGATCTATGATTGCTTCTCTAGTCTCCATCTCCGTACCCAAAACAATGAAGGAGGCTTTGAATCATCTAGGATGGTCTTATGCAATGCTTGAGGAACTACATGCTTTAGAGGACAACCACACATGGGATTTGGTAGATTTACCAAAGGGAAAGAAACCAGTGGGATGCAAGTGGGTCTTTACAGTTAAAGTTAATCCAGATGGTTCTGTGGCAAGACTTAAGGCCAGACATGTGGCGAAAGGGTATGCTCAGACTTATGAGGTGGATTATTCTAACACCTTCTCCCCGGTTGCCAAACTCACTTCTGTCCGCTTATTTATTTCTCTACCTGTCCGAGAATTGGCTTTTAAATCAATTGGATATCAAGAATGTGTTCCTTTATGGTGATCTTCAGGAGGAAGTGTATGTGGAGCAACCATCCGGTTTTGTTGCTCAGGGGGAGTATGGGAAAGTCTGTCATTTGAAGAAGTCCTTGTATGGCTTAAAGTAGAGTCCACGAGCTTGGTTTGGCAAGTTCAGTAAGTTAGTTCAGGAGTTTGTGTTGAAAATGAGTAAGTGCGATCACTCAATCTTCTATCGGAAATTAGTAGCTGGCACTATTCTCCTTGTTGTATATGTTGATGATATTGTTATCACAGGAAGTGACTATGCTTGGATTTCTTCCCTCAGGTCTTTTCTGCATACTAGATTTCATACAAATGACTTGGGCCAGTTGAAATACTTTTTGGGAGTAGAAGTAAATAGAAGCAAGAAGGGAATTCTTTTGTCTCAGAGAAAGTACATTCTTGTCTTACTTGCAGAAACTGGAAAGTTGGCAGTTAAACCTTGCAGTACTCCAATGGTTCCTATTGCATCTTATGAAAGATGATGATAATCCTTTTGACGATCTAAAAAGATACAGGAGGTTAGTTGGGAAATTAAATTACCTTACTCTGACTCGTCCAGATATTGCTTTTGCGGTAAGTGTTGTTAGCCAGTTCATGTCTGCACCAACGGCCAAACATTGGGCAGATTTTGAATAGATTTTGTGTTATGTTGACATACAAGTTATCTAGCACATGTATACACATGTAGTACATCATAGCTAGCACATGTATATAAGTTGTATAGTAGGTGTAATAGAAGTTGTGTAGCACATGTATACACATTTACTACATCATAGCTAGCACATGTATATGAGTTGTATAGTAGGTGTAATTAGGTGTATGGCAACTAATAGATTAGGTGAATTAGTATTATAAATAGGCCTTGTAATCTTCTCTTCTAGATATGAAATACAGAACTTCTTTGGTTTCTAACATGGTATCAGAGCATTGAAGTTTTTTCATCAGTTTGTTGTTGGGAATTGTTTTTCCCCGTTTGAATTATTTTTGTTCAGAACAGCCTTTGGCTGCTTTGATTCTATTTCACTATTTTCGGCCATTTTTTGCCCCGACCACTTCTTTACAGATTTTTCTACTCACTATTCCGACCAAAGTGGTACTGTCAGAATTTTTTTTTTCCTGACAACTTTCATTTTCCAAGATCACTGTTCAGGCATTGTTCACTGTACTGTTCACTGTTCACTGCACTGTTCACTGTTTAAATATTACTATTTACTGTTCATTGTACTGTTCAAATATCACTGTTCACTATTCACTACACTGTTCAAATTTCACTGCACTGTTCTTGACTATTTGATTCTGCTATTATTTGGGTGCAAGATGACTAAAACGAAACCTACCGTTGATGTCATTCCGGTTATGTCCAAAATTACGGAGAATAAGTTCATGGGTTCCAATTACATGGATTGGAGTAAGACGATCCGTCTCTATTTGCGGAGCATCGACAAAGAGAACCACTTGGTTGATGATCCACCCAAGGATGAGACTAAATCAGTCTGGTTAAAGGAGGATGCAAAATTGTTTCTCCAAATCAAGAATTCGATGCACAGTGAGGTAAATGATCTAGTTTCTCATTGTGATTATGTGAAGGATCTAATGGATTATTTAGATTTTTTGTACTCTGGCAAAGGAAACTTGTCTCGCATGTATGATGTGTGCCAGGCATTTTACCATCCATCCATGCAAGATCGCTCTCTCACCACTTACTTCTCAGAGTTTAAGAAGGTGTATGATGAGCTTAATGTTATATTGCCGTTTAGTCCAGATGTGAAGGTACAACAGGCTCAGCGTGAACAACTGGCGGTCATGAGTTTCCTTTCTGGTCTTTCTCCCGAATTTGAAGGGGCCAAATCGCAGATTTTATCTGGGACTGCTATCTCTTCCTTGAAAGAGGCCTTTACAAGAGTGTTGCGTACTGAAAAGTCTCATCCAGGTCCGACAGCCACGATCGATAGTGGTGCTCTGCTTAGCCGCGTCCAAAAGGATAGGAGTCATAGTAATCGCAATCGGAGTAGCGATAGTCGAGACCTAAAGCAAGGGGAAGTTGAATGTTTTTATTGTCATGAGCTCGGTCATACCATACGTTATTGTGTGAAGCTTCAGAATAAGAACAAAAGATCTCAGTATGCCAACATCGCCACTTCCGAGACTATTTCACCATCTCAGTCATCATCTCCTCCTATCAATACTATCCCCGAGTCAGGTAAAACCACTAAGTGTCTCCTCTCTTCGTCATCCAAATGGGTCATTGATTCTGGTGCCACAGATCATATGACAGGTAACTCTAAACTCTTTCCCACTTTTCAGTCACATACCCAATGTTCCACAGTTACTTTAGCCGATGGGTCTACCTCATATGTTTTAGGGTCTGGCACTGTTAACCCAACATCTTCTCTTTCCCTTAGTTCCGTCTTAAATTTGCCTGATTTTTCTTTCAATCTAATATCTGTCAGTAAACTTACTCGTACTCTAAATTGTTGTGTCTCATTTTTTCCCAATTATTGTCTTTTTCAGGATCTTACGACGAAGCAGATTATTGGTAAAGGTTCTGAGTCTGGGGGTCTCTATGTTCTTGAATCACAGGTGCCGAAATCCATTTCTTGTTCAACTGTGTTGTCTCCCTTTGATGTACACTGTCGATTGGGTCATCCATCCTTGTCTAGTTTGAAGAAGTTATATCCTCAGTTTCAGAGTATTTCCTCTTTAGATTGTGAGTCATGTCAGTTTGCTAAACACCATCGCCTTCCTAAAGTTTCTAGAGTCAATAAACGGGTCGACTTACCTTTTGAGTTAGTTCACACCGATGTTTGGGGTCCATGTCCTATTATCTCTAAAACTGGTTTTAGATATTTTGTTACCTTTGTGGATGATCATTCTCGTGTTACTTGGTTATATTTAATGAAAAATCGTTCGGAGTTGTTTTCAATTTTTTGTGCTTTTTGTGCTGAAATAAAAACTCATTTTAATGTTTCCGTTCGTAATTTAAGGAGTGACAATGCAAAAGAATATTTTTCGGATTTGTTTAAAGATTATATGGCTACAAATGGTATTCTACATCAATCTTCTTGTGTTGACACCCCTTCTCTAAATGGGGTTGCGAAACGAAAAAATAGACATCTTCTTGAAGTAGGCCGAGCACTCCTCTTTCGAATGAAAGTGCCAAAATGTTTTTGGGCTGATACCGTCTCTACAGCTTGTTTTTTAATAAATCGTATGCCATCTTCTGTACTTCATGGTAATATTCCTTACAACATTCTTTTTTCCTCTCTGCCATTATTTCCTATTGAACCCAAAATATTTGGTTGTACTTGTTTTGTTCGTGATGTCCATCCACATGTACCTAAATTAGATCCAAAGGCCCTTAAGTGTGTGTTCTTAGGGTAATCACGTCTTAAGAAAGGTTATCGGTGTTATTCTCCAGATCTCAAAAGGTACTTAGTGTCTGCCGATGTCACATTCCATGAAAATTATCCGTTCTTTTCTTCATATGTTTATAACAGTCCTGAGGAAGAAGATGATACTTTGGTCTACACTGTCACACATCCAGTTAGTTCTCTAACACCTCTTCCTCAGTCACCCGTTTCCCTTGATCGACCATCCGAGAAGCCACCTGTTCTTCGTGTGTATACCAGGCGACAACAAACCTCTGAACCCGATCATTTACCTACTTCTACTTCGTCGGTATATCAAACCTCCTGTGTTTCAGATCCTAGTTTGGATCTTCCTATTGCCATTCGCAAAGGTACACGACAATGTACTTATCCTATTTCTTCTTTTGTGTCTTATGACCATTTGTCTACTTCTTCTAGCTCGTTTATTGCATCATTAGATTCTGCTAGGATACCTAAAACTGTTCGTGAAGCATTGTCCCACCCAGGTTGGCATGATGCAATGATAGAAGAGATGATGGCTTTAGATGAGAATGGTACTTGTGAGTTGGCCGATCTGCCCACTAACAAAAAGGCTATTGGGTGCAAGTGGGTATTTGCTATTAAGTTTAACTCCGATGGGACAGTAGCTCGCCTTAAGGCACGCCTTGTTGCAAAAGGGTATG